AGTGGGGTTATGTCCTTCTGACTTGGCCATCTGAAGTAGGACCCTAGGCAAGAGGACACCTTCTCAGAAACTGATTCATGTTTATGAAAGTCATTCATCACTGTTCATGGCAGAATTTCCTCCAGGATTGGTTTCTCCAGCAGTGAGCTGTCACACCAATACCACGTAGAAAGCTTGGGGGTTGAGGGTGCTAGAGTCTTGGGCCAATCATGATGTAGATGCGGACATGAGCTCCAGTTCTTTCCTGGTTTTGCCACTTCCTAGCTGTGTAGCCTCAGAGAAATCACTTGACATTCCGAGTGGGATGGGGGTAATTGGATCACGGGGACCGTTTCTCCCATGCTGTTCTCCTGAGAGTGAGTGAGTTCTCACAAGATCTGATGGTTTTATAAGTGTTTGGAAGTTCCCCTTTCGCTCTTCTCTCTACTGCTGCCTTGTGAAGAAGGTGCCTTGCTTCCCCTTAGCCTTCTGCCATGATTGTAAGTTTTCTGTGGCCTCCCCAGCCATGTGGAACTGTGAGTCAATTAAACCTCTTTCCTTTATAAGTTATCCAGTCTCGGGCAGTTCTTTGTAGCACTGTGAAAACAGACTGATACACCCCCAAACCTGGCTACCCCATCCATCAAAGAGGGACAATAATACTGTGGCCAATAATTAGATTGCATTCCCCCAAAGCAGATCTCAATACATAGATTCGATTAAAGTAATTTATTTGGTGATGACCCAGGAGTCAGGGGTCAGGACCGAGAAGTGAGACAGGAAGGGAGGTAAATTTATTCAAGTGGGAAGATGGGCAGGTCTTCACCAAGGGCAGCCAGGCTTGATCCCCCAGGAGCCTCTGCAGGAGTACATGGAACACACCTCAGAGCTGCTCCACTGTGGGGTGAGGAACCTGGGTGTTTATCCACTATCTGTGGGCTGCTCTTAGGATGTTAGTGCCTCAGAACGCCCCACCTACCTCGTGTGTGGATCAAGCACGCCCCTATGACCAGAGAATACCCTCAGCCACAGAGATGCAGGAAGTCAAGGCTATGTTTGGGAACTCTAGGGTAAGCAGAGGTGCATGGCCAGGTGCTGATGGTGCCTGCTGTGCCAACTCGGTTGCTATGAGGGTGCTGCTTACAACAGTGCCTGGCATGTGACCAGCTCCAAAGAACTCACTTATTATTACTATTAGCTATGCCCCAACTTCCTCCATTCCAAGTGAACCCAGAGTTTGTTTCAGCATCAACCTTTCTCCTTGTAGCCATGGGTTTCAACGGAGGCTGACTCCAGCCCAGCTCCATGGCTGGGGTCTTGGCAGGCGTAAATCAATCGTGGCCCACATCTATAGTACCTTTTCTAAAATTTTCCTCAGGAGAGGAACCAGAGCACAGGTTTACCTCCAGGATAAGCTTATCACCTTCTCACAGGGTCAATATCTGTGTTTCCTTCTTTAAGAGAACAAAAGTCTAGGTTGGGGAAGTTCTCCTGGATAATATACTGAAGAGTGTTTTCCAACTTGGTTCCATTCTCCCAGCCACTTTCAGGTACACCAATAAAATGTAGGTTTGGTATTTTCATGTAGTTCCATATTTCTTGGAGTCTTTGTTCATTATTTTTCATTCTTTTTTCTCTAATCTTGTCTTCACACTTAATTTCATTGATTTTCAATATCTGAAATTTCATTGATTTTCAATATCTGATATCCTTTCTTCTGCTTGATTGATTCAATTATTGATACCTGTGAATTCTCCATGAAGTTCTCATGCTGTGTTTTTCAGCTCCATCAGGTCATTTATGTTCTTCTCTAAACTTCTTATTCTAGTTAGCAATTCCGCTAATGTTTTTTCAAGGTTCTTAGCTTCCTTGCATTGGGTTAAAACATGCTCCTTTAGCTCAGAGGAGTTTGTTATTATCCACCTTCCAAAGCCTACTTCTGTTAATTCATCAAACTCATTCTCCATCCAGTTTTGTTTCCTTGCTTGCAAGAAGTTGTAATCCTTTGCAGAAGAAGAGGTATCTGGTTTTTGGAATTTTCAGCCATTTTGCGCTCATTTTTCATCATTTTCATGGATTTATCTACCTTTGGTCTTTGACATTGGTGACCTTCAAATGGGGTTTTTGTGTGGACATCCATTTTGTTGATGTTGATGCTA